GTATAGTCATTAAATCAATACAGATCTAAGTGTCTTGTTAGATAGAAAATACTATAATGAGTAGACTGTAGTGTATGTTTCACTGTTCACAACTCGGTGAAGTTACAATTTAATAATTAATTCTTTTCAGCAGTGGCGATATTCTTTTATGAAATAAAATTTAGGTACTTGTTAATTTTACTTTTATTGACAATCACATTATAGTATATATTCTACAGCAATTTTACATATAGTCTTATTCAAACGAGCTAGTTTCGAAGCTCTCGTCTTCTTTCCCAGAGACAAATATATCCTAATGTCTTATAATAGAATCAGCAAACGTAGCATGGGATGCCCTGCAGTTAAGTAGTGCGATACATACGTAGAACTGTAAGTAATAAGTGAAAAAAGGGGACTAAAATTGTGCTCTGTGGCGTGCCTTTGTAACGTCCTATGTCCACCAGCAGCGGTGGACTGCAGTAGGCGGAATATGATGAATACTCGTATCTTGATATTTGTAGTGATTGGCCGGTTGATGTCTTTAAGATAAAACATGGTGAATATACATACATTTATATACATTAATAATGCATAAATACAAGCATTCTTTCAGAGTAATAGGGCATTAATCACATATACATACCAGCATTAATCCTTTATCTCAGTTTTGTCAGTCTTAGGGCATAAATAACCACATCATTGTGGTAGATACTAATTTTATAGCAAGATAACTGAGCTGCTAGTGTTGATGACAGGTAATATGTTGAATATACCTGCTTTAGTACCCTCTATCAGTAACTGGCAGCGAGAAGTTATCGTTCAATTTAAAAGTTTGAAGCGATCAGAGGAAACTTGTACATACCAAGATTCATCGATCTTGATAAACTATTCCAATTAATTAGACGGTCGAGAATAGTCGTTATATAGAATTTGTCTTAATAGATTAATTACTGACTTTAACTACTTGTTGATATTTAAGATATTTCATTAGCTAATTGTTTAATGAATAATAATACCACCATTAGAATCCTTTATAAATAACAGTAGTACCTACGTAATTGTACCTTGAAACAAAACAAAAACTTTGCTAACTATATGAGGAAACTCTAAGTCTCTAAACATGTTATGAAGAGGTAAGTTTGTAGAAGAATGTACTTACATTCATCTACACTCAACCGCCAATGTCAGAAAAGATCAGTAAACAAACGCGAAAATATAAAAAAATAGGTAGAAAAATGACTATTCCACGGCACAGAACTTATTGTAAACCAATTACATGACATACATATTATAATAATTAATGTACAAGTAACAGAGTGAGGTTGTGAAAATAAAATGCATCCAATCAGTCAAGAGATGTGTTATCTCAAATTCAGGTAGAGGTGGACTATTGGGTGCGGAGGAGTGGGTAGTTTACTAATTCATAAGTGATTCAGGCAGAAACAGTTTCTTTCAATTAATCGTTTCAAAATCTTCTGATAAAGGAATAAAATCTGATTTAAACATGACGTAGAATATTTAATACTAATTTTACGGTGGCCTTAGTAAATAATAAACAGTTGAAATACGAGTAAATATCCGTTGTGAGATTTACATATGCCCTTTAAGTACTTTGAACCATAAGAATTTATTCTTCTAAGTGTTATTCCCCTTACTCAGGTGATGTGCATTGAAAAACTCGTGAACGTACGAAGATACAAACTGAGCAGAGTGTAAATGACTACTGCTAATAATTACAGGAACCATAATAATGGATTTATGATCAAGTTATGGCTTTGGATATCCTGCAAGATCAGCGTAGCGCATTTATGTCAAGCTGAAAGAATATGGATAGAGAAAGGGCGTAACCTCGAATGCCCATTAATTCATATTTACTGCCATCGCATTTATGAAACATAAAAAGTTTACGAGAAGGTAGAAAGGCTGCAGGCATATTCCAGCATCGTTCAATTTATGGGTCACCTTAAATACAGCTTTAATTATACAGGGAGATTTATAGCGAAGGCTAATGAAAATCTGAACCAGTTGGATGCAATATAGCTTTGATTATTTTAGAGGATTATAGCAAATGTGATAAGTGCCAAGCATTACAGTAAAGGTTTTAAACCAATAGTCTGGTCCGTTAATTAAGATATTATAAACATAAACGAGAACAGATAGTAAAACTATGGTGCATAATTTTATCTATTAGATATAGTTTGGAGGGAAACATTCAAAACTTCGTTAGTTCCGTGCTAATAATCTAGATAAATTAATGTTTCTAAATAAATATCATTTTTTTCAAAGCATATTTAAATAAAGTATTGTGGAACTTAAACAAATATTAAGTGAATACAACTTCTTAATAATGGTACATCACACGATAATATATATTTAAAGTCGCTAGACAATAATGGCAAATTTAATTGTATTGAAATATAAGTACATATTTTTTACATCAAATCTACCGAATAAAAATATAAATTCCAAAATTAAACCCTATGTACATACATATTAGAGTTGCTTAACCCACGTGGACAATTTTGAACAAGATCTGGTTTTATTCATAAAATTACAGTTGATATAAACGCACAAATTAATAATCTAACCACACATATTCCCTAACGGCTTCATAAAAGTGAGGGTGGGTGTACCTTGTCGTTATTAAAAAATAGATATGAACGGATAATATATGGAACGATATTTTCCTGTAGAACTCAATAATCATCCAGTACAATTTATCAAGCAATAAATAATGCCTGATCAATACCGATCTTTGATCTTGCCCTTATCAATCACTAAGTAAAACATAGACATTGAGTTCCTTTTTGAAATGCCATAGATATTCCAAAATATTTTCTATTTATTTATGCCCTACAAGTACATGTTTAACTACGTCAGGTAGGTAAATATATACCTATAGGCTATACAATTATACAGAAAGAATATATATTTTTAACTGTTTACGAGAGCTACATACTGAAGGCAATATTCCCACGAAGCTGATACGAAAACACCACGAATATGCTATTTTTCTTGCCAATTGTCAAAACTTTTTTTGATATTTTTTTCATATAGAAGGTACGCAAATCAATATTTAGCTTTAAGGAAGGATATGTACAAGTTGTATTGTACAATTTATGACATCAATATAGTATAACATATTATGTTTTGTGCTCGGGACACACTATAGTATACATTAGAGATGCCACGAATAGTAATTTTGCTGAATAACGAATTTCCGGCGATACTTAGTCAATTTAGCGGGTGGCGTATTGGTTGCGAATATGCCGTGTACCAATACGCATTATTCGTTTATTGTTTGTTATGTCAAATTGTATCACTAATAGTATGGAAAAACATTACTGTGTAGCTCGAGCAGTTTCTTAAATTTTACTGATAAATGGATATCTTCTGATTTAATTCTTGAGCTTGGCGTTGAAGCCATTTGTTGGTTCACATCTGGTAGTAATAGCGCAAAAAACTCTTTACTATTGCAGAAAGATGATATATGATATGTTACTTGGAATATCGGACGTATAGATAACAAAATTCGACCGAATACCGAATTTTTAAAAATTACTTGAATATATGTGGAATAAATGCCAAAAATTCGAGATATATATTATTACAGAGATAAATGCGTTGTATACTAGAAATGCACTCTCAAGGATGTATCGCATTTATCTCTCTATGCATTTTATGCTTAAGGTAAGAAATCGCAGCCTCTATTACAACATTTATGTCTAAATTTGCTATATGTAACTTTAATATCCATACCACTATTGTGGCCTTTGAGATTTTCTTACCTTATCCGTCCGCAGAACTTTGTCCTCTGTAAGACCCCAATCGCAGATCTTTTTGATCTCGTGCTATCTGAAATTTAACAATGGATGATCCGGAAGAGTTTCTATTCTATGACCGGTGTGTAGTGAAACCGCGTAAAGTTTTATACTAAAACGCTTTCGGCAAGTGACAAGGGTAACGAGCGCTTAATTGAAATCCTGTTATGTTTAAAACCAACAATGATTTTCATTAAATTTTAATCTTAATTTATTTAATATAAGTTTATATATTATAGTTTATATATATATATATATATATATATATATATATATATATATATAACTAACAAGATTACGGTTGGATGTGATATATATATAGGTACTACCACAGATAACATACTACAGAATATACAGTATATTCTGTAGTACTTATACATATCACATCCGTACATGGATCATGCATTGCACTTCTAAAAATTAAAGTGACCATAATTTCCCTGCTATATGCTCCTAAACATGCAATTGTGCATGAACATGCAAACTTCTTGATAATGGCAATATATGATTGGAAAGGTGTACCAATTACGAGGATGACAAAGTCACCCTGATCTTCTTTCTTTCTTTGATAAAATTGAAAAAACTTGCATTAGTACTAGTGCAAGTTTTTTAGCTATATAGCTAACTTATTAGAAATAAGTTATAATATAAAACGTAACGATTTGAAAAATAAAACGTAATATTCATGTTCACTGTCAAGCATAGGTACATTATATATGTACTTGTGCTATGTGAAACGATGGGTCGATGTTCCCTCAATCTCTATAATATGGTTGAATGCAGTAATGCTTGGCTCATCCGTAATACTCGTGAATAGATGTTGCTGATGGAAATTAGGATTAATATTATATATTTATTTGTTTTGTTTATTAGGATTGAAAGTTTGTGCTGGTTGTTGCTGAATTCATTATTAATCTATTTTAATTTCTAACTTGGACATTAGGTTTAGCAATTTATTTATTATACATAAGTAATAATACCCCAGAACATATTTTACATCAATATGAAACCCGTGTCGAATATATTCATAATAACGAGATTTTCACAAAATACAGGAATAGATCAAGATCCCTTATAAAGAACACATTTCTATGTATAATATTTACCCTGTGAGATTCATATGTGCGCAAATACATAGAGTCCAACATTGAAAACTTGCTTTGTAATATTTGCTTAGGATAATACTGTCTTTGTATACAGGTTGAGGGTGGCGTGCGCCGGGTGCGCGGTGCGGGGGGATGCCCGCGCGCAAGGGGCTGCTCGCGCCCCAGAATACCTTCCTCGATACCATCGCAACACGATTCGATGGCACACGTAAGTATATTTTTCTTATTAAGTTATAGTATTCTTAGAGTTAGAACAGTGTTTCCCAACGTGGAGACCATGCCCAACAGAGGGATTATTTGATTATTAAAGGCAATTCGGATTATCGGACATAATTTCAAATTTATACGTTTTGAAAATTTACTTGCTGTTTCATTAACAGTTTCATAGTGATTTCTTCCTAACACCTATTATTTAAGTTTTTCAAGTTAATAATTGAACATTTAATTTTTTTTATGTCATAAATGACGTATGTTAGGAGAGTTAGTAATAAGAATTTTAGCAAGGTTACGATTGGACATAGCACTAAATATAATTATATATTTAAGAATATAACTTTGTTATTATGTATGAACCATGAGCATTGCAATTACAAGATAAGTTGTATGGTATGCAATTGAAATTTATATAATATTTGCTGCGAAACTGTAGATTTGGAAGTTTGTTTTCCGTTGCGATACATATTTCGCAATCGACTTATTATTTCTGAAACTGCACAATAATCATTCTCTATTTCATATTTTTAAACACAATGTATGTATTTAAAGCTAATGCTGATGTGAGCAAAATAATATTTCATATTATTTTTATTAACCAAGAATGAATGAATATTCAAAATAACCAACTATTTCTTTAAGTAAGAATAAAATACTGTTCTAGGAGATACAAAATAATACTATCGTATTCAATACAGTGTCAATCGCTATTAAAAACGAAAAACAATAAATTTCATAAGCGATTCCAATTTTTGTAATTGAGAGACTTTGGATCTGTTGTCTAAGAAGGATATGTTTAAGTTGAAAAGGTCTGATGATATAAAGATCGTTCAGGTCATAGTTTTCTATTTTTAGAATATGATTACTATTTGAATTACGACATCGCATAGTTTTGGATATTTTCGTCAGCTTGTGTCGGTCTTAATATAAAATTCTTGAAATTAGTGTTAATTTTATTAACTATTACAATAGATATATCTATTATCGAAATAAAAACTAATCTGCTTATCTATACATATAAATAAAATTATCTGTTTGTAATAATTAAATAACAGTTTTTCACTACATGCATATAAATATAAATACGTTACATACACCAAAATATCATTTTTTACCATTTTTGTCTGTCTGTTTGTTCCGATAATATCTGAAATCCCTTTTCGACCAGACTTTTTTTGGCAGGTAGCTGATGTAATGAGGAGTAACTTAGGCTACTTTTATTTTAGAAAAATAAAGTTAAATTCCACGCAGACGAAGTCGCGGGAACAGCTAGTCTTTAATATGTACACATCGTTGACAACAAGTAGTAACTACTGTTATACAATAGATTGTTAAGTTAAGTTAAAGATATTATTTATATACATATAGTTATAGCAGGTTATTTTTTTATTTAAAGCGAAGTTCATGCAATTATTTTCTCCAATGGTTAGCTCAGATTTTCACAATACATGAAGAAAAGTAAATAGTTGAACAAATACTGAATCTAACGAAGCTTTCTAATAAATCTCTATCTTACAATTGGTATCGAATAACAAGTAGACGAATAAAATAGAACGTAGTACTGTATGCCTGAAACGTTCAAGTCGCAATCTTTACTCCACAAAATGAAAATTCAATCAATTCAAAGAGGTTTTATTGCGCAATCTTTATAAAGAACTCGTTTCAGTTTATAACTTGAGTTTTCTTTTGTTCGTTTACAAAAATAGATGAATCATGTGCATCGTAATCGATGTAAGGATCCTTCATGAACGTAAATTATGTAAAGACAAGCCTAATGATGGATTTAATAGCATATGATAACAAAAGTGCTTTCTGAGACTTTATGTCAATACTACATCATATAGGAAAAGAAATATTATTTGCTCTTTAAATATAAGAACAAAGAAGAATAAATACACGATCCGCCTATCTTTTATCGTTAGGGTTAGGTACAGTAGTTCGTGAAAATTACTGCGCATTACAAATATTTATTGCTTAGTTTTTTAGGATGGTCATAGGTCATATTATTTAATAGTGTTGAACATTATAACAAATATATCAGTAATTTGTTTTATACCAATAATTTGCTAAATAATTGTTAATTTAGGGAGCTTCTAGCAAAACATCTTTCGTCTGTCTGTCGGCGGTATATTCTAGAAATATTGTTACTTTCTTCTAATCTATTTATAATTCAACTGAATTAAATAAATTCTTTTTGCATACAATTAATTTATGAAATAAATTATTTTTGCTAAATATAGTTGTATTTATTTATATATAATGATATAATATATAGGCCAATTTATCTTGCAAACGTAGTTTCCAATTTGGTAAGGGAAGCTTAAACACGCATTCATTAAGAGGATATTCCCTGAAGGGCGCTCCATACGAAGCGTAGTCCTCGTATCATAACTGAGCAAAATATATGATATTTCGTAAATATCATAGAATAAGTTAATTCAGTATTAAATAACTACATATGAAGAAATTGAGTGTCTTATATACAATATTTTGGCATTTTTTTATTGATACGGTGTATTTCTGTATTGCACCGTTATATTTTTCTATTTATAGACATTATTAGCTGGTCCAAAAGCATGAAATTAGGATTAACCATCGAGATGAGAGCCTTGAGAAATGTATGCTGTGTGACATTGCAGGATAGAATTAAAAATATTGTAATAAAATATATGTGTGTATTGAAAGATGATGTCATTCATCATCTACTTCTTCCTTATCCTATTTACTTGAGGAGGACTTAATATATTTTTTCTTCCATTCATCCCTGTTCGCAGTCATCCCGTTATTTACTCCCTTTCATCTTTCACACAGTCCATCCATCACTTCTTATAACTATCTCCATTCATATGTAACAGCTTCCATAAAATATTATCTTAATTCTTATGGGTCATTAAAGGCCATACCACGACAGACGAATACTCTTCAACTTCTCCGATACCGACGCTACTTTCATACTTCCTCTAATGCATTCATTCTTTATTTTATCCATTCTTGTTGCACCACACATCTACATAACTCAACATTCGCATTCACATTCGCAGTTGCATGCTGTCGTATCATATGTCGCCTTTACGAGCCAGCACTCTTATCCATATAGCACACAAACATTAGAATCAATGAGAATAAACAAGGTCATATATGTACACGTTTAACCTATAATTTTTTGATGTGAAAAGTTACAGTTCACACCACAGTGCTCGTCGCAAAAGCTACGTCGTTTGTGTTTGTGAGATGTGTATTTACGTTACTGTATAAGTACAGTGTTGCATTTTACACTGAGAACCCTAACTTTTAATGTCTTCTACCACTAGGATTATTATTTAATAATACATATTACTGGTTTTTTCTTGTTCCAAAACAAATGTCGTTCACATTACCCCTCCTTTTATATAAATTGTCATACCTATTTATTCTATCCCTTTAAGAAAATCTATAGAACAGTCATTCTTCAGTTCGAAATGTCTCACAAATCAAAGCTGTCTCAACAATATATATAATTATATATAAGCGTTCTGTAGTTCCAAACAGAGCTTGTATTAAACATCTGATACAAATACTTAAATATATTTTTAAGCTACTTAATCTATTTAAAAATGCGTGCAAATCGCTAGACCTCCGAGAGTGTCAATAGAAATAATGACGTCGTCTCCCTACGTCGATCCACTGCTATAAGATTATCTACAGGTATCACAATAGATAAGATCAATAGAATATGAATTAATAATTAAACAATTAAAACAGATTTGAAAATATATAAGGTTCATGAAAGATACCTACAATTTTTTAATAAATGGTCGAACATGAAATATTAAATGCTGAGTGTTCCCAGCAGGGAGGATAAAAAACTCGTAAAGAGGGTGGTATTGAATTCTACAGAGAATGCCGTAGACGCAAACGTAATTCAATGGGCAATCATTTTTACTTTCCGCAAAGCTTTCCATTAAATAATGTATAGCAATGGATTAAATGTTACCCTACACACTTTATCGATACTTTATGTATCAAAACATGTAGGTACTAACCCAAATTAGCGATCCGTAGTTACATACGTAAACTGAATTGCTTATCTATCCATCAGGTAGATATAGCTTAGGAACTATTTCACGAAATTGACGAATGTAGGTGGAATTTTAAACGACACTCAAAATCTTGTACCTTTAAGGATTCATTCCATCAAGTATTCGAATGAAATCCTTATAGGATTTCTTTTATATATGTAGTTGTAATATACGATGTGGATGATGTCGATGAGGAAAACCAGTAATATTCTTAGAAGTAATATTTTCCACTATTCTTTAATAATAACTACGTCATCTGCATTGTTAATGATTTTTTTTAAATATTAATAAATATATAAATGGTTATGTAAATGGCGCTCTGGTATCAAACTAGATAGGACGAAAATTAATCTAGAAAGTTAATCATGCAATAAGATTCTCATTAAACTGTCAGTGGAAAATTAAACTTTGATGTAAAAAAAATATTTAGTATAAATAATAAGCAAGGAAAGTTGAAAAACGAAAAAACGATTACATGACTGCTTTCGCAAACTCAAATAGCATGAAACAAAACACGTAGTTGATTTTGGTTTTGTAAAGGTTTTGTACTATTTTTTCGAAACTATATTTCGAAAGTTTCATATGTATAAGCATATATTTATACGACCTTCGTCACATGCTCTGTATACACATGGGAAGCCGAATTAGATCGCTAATTCATGTATATGTTACCGTCAAAACTTATAATGTTACTTCTTTCTTCAGTTGTACGAACATTGTATCAGTTAACATGAATATTGGATATTAAATATATTTTACTAATATTATATACATCAGCGGAAACACCTATTATCAATATGAACCCAACCCGTATATCTGTTTACTAGGTGCTACTTTTATTTACGAAGTGGCCTGGCCTTTGGTGTTTGTGAAGTTTTTGAAAAGAAGAAGGAAAAAAATCTCAATAATCCCCAGATTTTGAAGGAAAATAAAGATT